TCCAAATGTTTTGGATTGTTGGGTGTCTCTGCCTTCATTAAGCGCTATGAGATGACTTGTTGTTGTAAATATGCGCTATACAAATAAAAAATTGAAAATTGAAATTGAACTCACACAACATGTAGAAAATTAGTGTTAGAAACTATGAATATGTGTCAAAGAACATGTTTAAAGCAAACCAGCTTTTTACTGCAGATTTCCAGTGAAGCAAAGCTTTGTGCAAATACAGGTATTAGGCAATAAATACAAAGTTGTTGACACTTTATAAGCATGGACGATCGTCCAAACTAGTACATGACACATACGACATATAGAGTATATGCACTAATTCAGAGTTGGTTTTCAGAATGAGTTGTTTCTGACTTGTTTGTGGGTAGAAGCTGGTTTTGTGTCTGGTTGTTTTGGGAGGAGTTGGACCAGGTTGTGTCCAGGTGTGATGCTTTACAGGGATGCTATGTATGTCTGTTTCCTGACCCTGGACATGTAAGAGTCCTGGATGGAAGCCGGGTCAACCACATAATTTTTCATATATGTTGTAGTCTCTATCTGTCTTTTTTAGTGATCGATCCAATTAGCCAGTAACTGAAGCGTAGTGAACAGAGTGAGTTATAGCACTCTAGAATTGGATCAGCAGCTCTTGAGGCAGGTTAATCCCCCTGAGCTGGAACAGGAAGTCCATCCTCTCCTGGGCCTTTATGTTGACTGTGATACATGTTGAGTGTCCACTTCAGATCGTCGGAGATCGTGGATCCCAAAACCTGAAGCTGAAGCTGGAAGTCTGATACAAGTTTGTTCCTCACAAAGTCAAATTGTTTTTTAAAGGTTATCACTTGGTTTTAAAGTCTGGTTAGAATCACACACAGTCACATTACTGGAGTTAGAGTGTGTGTGTGTGAGAGAGATTATTCATTGTAATAACACCATTATGTTGAGCAACTGAGGTGCATGTATGTGACATGTCCTAAGTCACTTAACACACACTGTCTTTCTAACTGGTAAACAAAATGGGGGACCTCAGTTTGCTATTAATGTGTAGTTACATGTCATGTTTATGTTGAGCAGCAGCGACATCTGGTGGACAATGTAGTGAACCTACATGTTGTGCAAACTCACCCACAACCAGCATTAACCAAACATTAGCTTTCTTTGCTCAGCTGTTTTGTGACAACCCGAAAATTCTCAAATCAACACATTATGCAGCCAAATTCTTTAAGCCGGTCTTTGGAAATACAGCAAATTAAATGTTTTTGCATCCAGACACTGTTTGAT